AAATGATATTAACTGCAGGAAATTTTAATTTCGAACTAAAACAGAGGTTAACCATGAAGTTTGTATCAGAATTTTAACTTGATTGTAGTTGACATTTACCATTGATTAACTAACTGGTTCAGGATGATATTGTGATGAATTGAAGGTGATTGGTTCGAATGCTGATCGAAGAACACTTGTTTTGACATCTGACGGTGATTATGACCTCAAGGATTGGCGTGATGAAATTGATCGAGTTATTGCGAGCACCCGAAAAGGTTTGCAATCGTGTCCATAATTTTAATAGATGGTGGAATGCTGATGATGATAATAATGAATTCGATTAATAGGTGGTTTGTACATGAGGTTATCTTTCCAAGAATTGTGTGGCTATTGGAAGTTATGTAGCAAAAACTTAAAGAACCTCCACCACATACTTGTGTCGTAAACGATTTCTTGATTGCGTCTCAAAAAGAAGACTCATGTAGAAAATTTGCTTGACTCTGATTTCGATGAGTGTAGCAAAGGATAGTCATGGAGAAACGACGACGAAATTTAGCGAAAGGAGTATTGCATTCAACTCAATCAGTTGTTTCATCTTAATCATAATTCCATTCATCTATTATATGATCAAGAATTGACAACCGATTTAGTCAATGCTATTTGTTGTTGTTATACACAATCAGTCCACATTTCCTGTGAACATTCTATTATCTGCAACAGTTTATTCCCACTCACTGGAAATCGCTTCAAAGTTTAATCATTTGCTGTTTCATTCATTCGAATATAGTCAGTTTGTCTTGACACAGTGCCTGCAGATCGTGAAGGTCGTTCATTTAGTTCGGGTCTTGAAGGGAATCAAATTACGAGTTTATTAGCAATAATGATGGTCACGATAATAGCAGTTATGATATAGTGGGTATACATGATAGTAATAATATCATAACAGTAATATTAATGATTACAATAGTCACGGTAATGAGGAAAATGACACCAATATGAATAATAATAATAATAATATCACTAATAATAATAATGATAATACGAGAAATGAGACTCAGTTGTAAGCAAGCTATCAGAGCAAACAAACAATGCAAATATGAAATTTCGCTCGAATCGAAATAAACGATTCTGCTGAAGGCGTGTTCG